CCCAAGTGACTGTGATCGTAAGGCATGTTCTAGGTAAGACTACTATAGGGATTCCGAATGGGTGACAACTAAGTTACGTAAAGTAAACAATGGCATAATGATTTACTAAATTCGAACGCCTATTCTTATTTGGGTCGCGGTTCCTGTGATGATGAAGACCGAATAAGCAATGTTTTACCTGGTGCTACGACCTGCCGCTAATGTCATCAAAGTTAATTATAGTGCAATATTATTAACCCCTTTTTCGTCGCTAAATTATCAAATATATTTATCATTAATGAAATGAATAATTCATATGAGAGCAATATTATATCAAAATTAGGTGTACATACTCTTAATATAATAATATTAATATAATTTAGAACATCGTTTTGTCACAATGATGTATGGACGAATCGCAGGCTAGAAATGATACGATTAAAAGCTCTTAGCAGTTGCGTGTTGTTGTTTTTTACAAAGGTAAGTTTGCGCTTACATGTCTCGTTCATTTGTGGCTGTTAAATCTGGAATAATGAAGGTTTTGGTCGACAAGCTACCCTAAACATGTTGCATAAAGGTTCTGTTAATTTCGCAAATGTGACATATTCGTTGATGTGGTAAAACATGTGTTGTTTTTTTTGCGAAGTTGGTCAAGCTTCCCTGCTGAGTAGCTGGTAACATGTCGGATCATAGAGCTGCCAAATCTGCAGCGAGTAACTGACTTTCTACATTACTAAACCAATGTGGATATGTTTGGATATGGCTGAAACCGATGACTTTAAGCACACGCCCACGTCCAATTTATATGGAAGTGGGATTGCCTGTTTTATGGGATCTCTGAAATTACTTCAGAAATAAGAAAACAAACAGAAATCAATGTAATAACACAGGGAGCCCAGGAACTATAATCAACTGTACGCAGTCCATATGAGCGGGGGGATATCGGCTGGTATCTAGTGTAAGAAAGACAAGGGATGAAGGCTCCAGACAGCTCACATTTTTTCAAAAAAACTCGAAAAACAGTCAAACAGAATGAAAAATAAAATCTAAAAAAAATACCAGCTTGAAGAATATTAGTTGCTCTTTCAAATTTCGTCAAAGCCATACCTATATTTTACCAATATCTGCAGAATAAATCAAGAAAACTACAAAAATTGACCCCATTTATGAATAGTTAACGGGTATCTCAAATTGTTAGAAATATATATTAATAAATGCTCAGTTTAAAGCAAGGATTGCATAACCACTCATTACTCAAAATGTTATATGGCTGGACAGACGTGGATTTTTGTTTTGACTAGTCGTGTAGTACCCTTCTAAAACAGTTTCATTCTTAAAAGTTTTATTTTAACGATAGGTGTTGCATATTATGCTGGTACGTCTATACTAACCTGCACAATTAATATTAATCATGTTAAACGAAACCAAACTTATTCTGATTTTCCTTCAGAGCGCCATGACTTCATCAAATGCTAATAATTCCATATATTCATCGACATCCAGTGGTACAACGACACCGAGTTTGACAAATGGCTCTGATGTACCACCAGCAGGTACACCATTGGCAGAATTCTTGCAACAGTTAGAGGATTACACACCTACGGTAAGAAAGCAAAAAGTTAGAAAATTAAATTTTAACAAACAATCAAAATGCTATTGTTATAATACCGGGACAATTACCAACCTGTCTTTGTTATTCTTTTGTATTTATTACCGAACCATTCCAACTGAATTGTAACTTGTACTAATGTCTGCAGAATACACCCAATCATGTTGGTTTAGTGTTTCCTCCAGGATACTTCCGTGCTGCAAATATAGTTTATTTCTGTTTATTATATGCATGTCTTTTGTCAATAACCTCTGTCGTTTCTCAATAGTTTAAGCATTGCATCTTGGTGGTTAAACATGATAAAACTACTGTACTTTATAAAAGGCTGATGGAGAAAACTTAGAAATACCGTGAAATTTTACCTGCACTATAAATTCAACCACCTAATTATTTGGCGAGTTTTTGTAATTTATTGACCTCGCCAGAAATTGCTCACTTATTTTTACTTGAAAAATTTGACATGACTTTCTATAACTATTCTATTTCTGCAACTGTATATAACCCAACTTTTATATTTGTTGAATTTTTGAAAACCTGTGAGTTGAGTGAAGAAATACATGTATGAAAGAAAGGAAAATAACGAATCAAATCACAGTGAGCAATTCACCATATCTGATGACATGTTATTTACATGTGTGTGCATGTGTATACCAAGTGTTTGCCACTACCTGAAAGCATGCAGAGTTGAAAATTATTGGCCCATAGTAAGTAGTCATTTCCCCAGAAAATTGTCTTAGTGTTGTCGCTAAATCGGATACTGATTTGCATATAATTTGCATACTAATCAACATATTTATTTTTAAAAGAAAACAGGTTGCCAATAAAACTTTCATGTCAGAGAATTTTTGTAAATCACAGATTAGCGGCCTGCTTCCCTAAAACATTTTTGGCAGAACACTGCCATAGTATATATAATTGTTTACTTGACGGCACATTATTGGAGCTGAACAGCTTGAGCCACCTTTGGCCAGCAAAAATGACAAGGGAAATTCGGCTCCAATAATTTTCCTCAGGGTTTTCTGATAGAACTGAGTCCTGGCATTGTCTACTGTCTAAATGAGAAACCCTAGTCAAGGACACTGTTCTGCATCGACTCTAAATGAACTGGATCAAAATTAAGACCACTTTCGGCCACGACCATTTAAACACAGCAAGAAATAATCTTCTGTTAATAAGTGGGGTGTTAAGCCTCAATAAAATGCTGCTATGTTAACCTAGAAAATATTCAGTGTTGATAGAAACCAAGAAATAATTTGTGATGTTAAAACAATTTGTTGTTTCTGTAAATGTTTTGTCGTTTATCATTATACAGTTGTCAGCAATGTCAAAGTGACTGAAATGAAGCAGTCCTATTGAACTACCATGTAATGTGTCATCATTAGACGTAAACAATTATTTGCTTCACATGTCCATCTTTGTTTTAAATACAAATAATGTGTTACTGGGTCCTAGATTCTTATTTGCAGCATAGCATTTTGTCGTTTTACTTTTGCAGATACCAGACACAGTAACTGGCTACTACTTGAACAGAACTGGATTTGACGCATCTGATCCCAGAGTGTAAGTATCCATTCCATAGTTTTATTCTTCGTTGTGACTTATTGGCGACCTTAAAAGGTGTTTAAATATTTCCTCCACATTGAGTCCACCTTTCGAAAATTGTAAATTACCAGTTTTTAGGGGTAAATCACCTTTTTTTCGTCAATATGAGTGCTAAAAAATCATTGCGGTAATCCACTTCCATGTTGCGTTAAAAAAATGACATCATCGATAACTGATTAGTTATTGAAAGACTTGATCTGTGAGGTCAAAGGACATTGTTTTGCATCAAGAGTTTGCGTATGATTGAAAACTTTCCACAGTGAAGATAATGATAAAAATCTTGCCTGTTTTCCCACAGACCCTGCACAGTAAATTCAGACAGTATGTAAATCGTTATTGCAATTCAAGTGAATTTCTCTATTGCAGGGTACGGATGATTTCATTGGCTGCTCAAAAGTTCATATCAGACATTGCAAATGATGCCTTACAGCACTGCAAAATGAGGGGGTCAGGTCAAAGTTCAAGAAAAGTTGGTAAAGTAAGTATTATATTTTTGATGTTATTGCCACTTTACTTTTACTGAATTTTATTTATTGTGGCTTATTCCTTAAAAAAAATTGAGAGAACATATTACATGTACAAAATTCATCAGAGAACATTATTTAATTATTAATGTATGTTATAAGTTAACAAGTCTTGGTCATGTATGATGAGGGTTGCTCGCATACATGTTTTATAGGGGGGTGGAGGTGGAGGGGGGTTGTCACAGGTGCATAAATATTACATTGGACCCACACGTGTATAACTGTACTGTGTATGTACTGCAAGTTGATAAGACTGAATACATGATAGGGTAAATACTATGTCAAATCAAAGTAAACATGTATTGTGTGTGCACGACTTGAACCAATGAATAAGTGCACTACCAAATCTCCTAGGTACAGATGACACAGTTTCTCCTCGCCACTGGCCATCTACAGATGATGAAAGTAACCGTGCAGTCTTAACAGCTAATAGTACTGTGTAATATTTGGAAACTCATAGTTGTCGCTTAAATGGGAAGTAAAATAAGTAATCAAAACCCAATATGTTGCTACATATAGTGTAAAATATCATGTCAAACAACATGATAGCAATGATCACCATCCTTTAATGAAATATGGTTAAAACTGACATTTTTGTTACAATTACTTCTGAGATAATTTATTGTTGTTGTTTTTTTATGCAGGATAAACGATACACATTAACAATGGAAGATTTGACGCCGGCGTTATCAGAATATGGAATCAATGTCAAAAAACCTTACTACTTTACATAATAAGAAGTTGAAGTTTATATAGAGTTTATTTGTATTTATGTTGAGGGCAGGGATAATTTTGAATTTTTTATTTGTTCGTTTGTATTTGTTTCTTAGCTTCTGTTGTACTGCAAAATTTTCGCTGCAAAAATGTTCATAATTTCCCCAAAATGTTGATGTGACAGCATGGAAATCAGTGGATATTTTTCTCATTAGTATATATTATCATTTTTTCCTGTATAGAAACAAAACAAAGGAGAATGTTTTTGGCAACCCACCTTGAAAATGAGTGTAGATTTTGCACTAGGATGCACTACCGGGTAAATGCACACACATCTCATAAATTGCATGTTGTTCGGTTGTCAAAATAAGATTTTCTTCTGAATTAGACTTACATTAGCCTTTTGATTATGGTGGATCCTTTGTGTTTTGGGAAAAAATACATTATTCGCTAACTGAAAACAAGGTTTTACAATTTTCCTTCACCTGTGACAGTTTATCACTCGAGGAATTTAAGCAATGTGTTAAGTGTGGAGGGGCGTTTACTATTTTAACGAGATAAGTTCAAAACACTCAAAAAAAAGGCTGTAAAGAGATCATAAGCAGTTGTATGGTTTCACATTCTCTATTTAAGCAAACTCTTCTATGAAGACTGTATGAGTGACTGTACATTTCACCTTGGTAAAATACATGATCTAATTAGAAAGGTCAGTTAATCATAGCAATAGAGTTGTGTTGTCACAGGAAGCGCTGACCCAGCACAGACCTGTGGCATATGACGCTTAACTAGCCGATTAGGGCTAAAATAGCGCTACACCGCCTCTTTACACTAGTGTTTATACAAGGAACTTGATAATTTTTTTTTTTTGCTTTTTAATCACGTATTTTTGTAAAATATTGTTTAGTGAGTGAAATATTAATGTCATACATAATTCAATCTTTATAACAGAAATTAACACATAATAACGATAATCAAATTTGTGTTTGAAGTTTGAAAGTACTTGCGTAATTTCCGGTTTCAACTAGTTCGAAAATAGAACGTCCTTGAACGCGATAAAATCATGCGTAGAACGCCTTCCGAAACAGACACTAGCAGCGTAAACTTATTGCAAATTTGGGCCCAGTTTGTTCCAACAAGTTTTCTAAGTTTCAATTATCATTTAGTAAACAAGCCCATGACACGATTTAATATTTCTGTGAATTGCGTGCCAACCGACGACTGACTTAGAAAATGTTCAAAGTTTCAAACACACTCCCGGCACACCTTGCGTGATATGCGTCAGATCGGTGTAGAAGACGCCGACCTGCAGCATCAATGTAGCAATAGACCTGAAACAAAATGTGAAGATGTCAAATTACAAAAGAGGGCGCACATCAATACACATCGGTTGATGATGATCTGCCAAGATAACTGGTGAGGTGATGGTAGAATAGGCAGTTGTAATAGTTCTTTTTATCTATTTTATCATGTCAGGCTTTCTAAAATATAAAGGTGATGTAATTATTCATTTCTGAAATGGATGATCAATACATGGAAAAAAAAAATGTTCCAAGATTATTGAAACAGTGTTTACTATTTTCATATTTAATTTTACAAATTAGTGTGCAACATTATTATGTAAACACTAAAAACAATAAAACAAGTTCATTTGAAATGACCCTTTTTTTGAGTAATGTTATTCTTTGCTTCGTTTTTAAGTGTGATGCCAACTCTGATCACAAGAAAAAAGTAAAATGTAGACAGAAAGTTGCACTGTCATGCATGTTTGTTGCGAGAGGACAATTTCTATGTGAAACTGCCTGATTAACCAGTAACCGTAACATACTATCTGATTCACAAGTAAACCAATGAAGGAACTGGTTAATTTTGAAAAAAAGTATTAGTCACCAGATAAAGGCATTATCAAAACAATAGCGACAAGCCAACAAATTAGTTAACTATTTTAGTTCAGCATCCTTGTTTGCATTTACGAGGATCTTGCATTGTTCAAAACATTTACTAGTTTTTACCTTGCCCGTACCATCAAAGATGGAAGGGAAAGGTATATTAAGGGAAAAATTTTGTCCGGCGTTGTTGTCGTTGTTGTCGTCGTCGTCGTTAATAATTGTTATTGTGTGCATAATAACTTTACTAATTCTATTCCAAACTTTATCAAACTTGGTCACCTTATTCATCAGTATAAAGTCTTCCCTGAGTTTGAACAACAGATGTCCTGTATGAAAATATCATGCAAAAATTGAGAAAATCTGATAAAATATTTTGACTGTTTCTGCTTGACTGA